ACCTGCAATGTTTTCTTATCCTCACCTACCCCAATCAAATTACTTCCAGACTTAATGTCCTTCCTCAGAAAGTTTCTGGATCGTCTCAGAGGAAGTCCTCTCACCTTCCGCAGAACTTGCACAAAACTACTGAATTGCATGTGCTGTGCACTGTTCAGTTACTAGGTACGTTTTATCTTCACTGCTGGAGTGTGGGTTCTTAGGAAGTAGGGATCTTGTGTACTATCCAATACTTTGCACAGAGCAGGCTCTCAATAATGTACGTGGCATGAAAACTGTGCAAACACAAAGCCAGTCCAGAAACACACTCACTATGCCCATGCAGCACACAATGCAACAAAAGCTCAAGCCTAAGGAGGTTCTGCTAATTCACACAGCACTTACCAATGCTGGGTCTAGTGAGCCCCTGCTCAGACTCACTGGAAGGGCGAAAGAGTTTGAAGTGGGGTTTTAAACCATGGATTAAATTCTGATGACTTCTATAGTGATTAAAATAACCTGGAGAAATTGAGAAGTTCTTTTTTTTTTTTTTTTTTATTTCTTTTGACACAGAGTCTTGCTCTGATGCCCTGGCTAGAGTGCCGTGGCGTCAGCCTAGCTCACAGCAACCTCAAACTCCTGGGCTCAAGCAATCCTCCTGCCTCAGCCTGCCAAGTAGCTGGGACTACAGGTATGCACCACCATGCCTGGCTAATTTTTTCTATGTATATATTTTTAGTTGTCCAGATAATTTCTTTCTAAACTCTTGGTCTGTCCTTGTTCTTCCTGCAGCCTTCCCATTTCAGCTCATGGAAATTCCACCTTCCAGTGGGGCCAAAGATTTGGAGTCTTCTCCTTCTCTCACATCCCATATCTAGGGCATCGGCAAATGTGGTCAGCTTGACCCTCAAAATGTATTCAGTACCTGCAGGGTCACTATTTGCCACCCCGGTCTGCTCTGAAGAATGATCCTGTTGAAATGTAAGTCAGACCTTGTCTGCCCTTTGCTGGAGACCATCTGATGACTTCCTGTCTCACTCAGAGCCAACATTCTTACAATGTCCACAAGACCTCACATAATCCCCCAGGCCCACCTCCCTGAGTCTGCTCCTGTCGCTCTCCCCCAGCCCACTCCGTGGCAGCCACATTTCTGGAACACACAGCCCTCCTGCCTCATGGGCCTTTACACTTGCTAATCCTTCTGTCTGCAACACCCTCCCCCAGACAATTTCTTATTCTCTCTTCCTTTAATCTCTTTCGAAAACTCACCCCATTAGAGAAGCATCCTCTGACCACCCTTTATAAAATAGTAACCCCTCTCCTTTGCCTTCCTCCCTGATCCTGATCTGTTGTTCTCCATGACAATTATCACCACAGGATATATTGTGTTTGACCTTCTGTTTGTGTATACAGTTCCCATCCTTACCCCACAACTAGTTACCTGTGTTTCATCCATTTTGTTCGCTACATGTCTAGCACCTAGAACAGTGATTGGCATATTACAGGAGCTCAATAAATACTTAAATAAATGAATCTTCTACATTTATTTTTGTATCCCTAATTATAGATTTTAAAGGTTGCCGAATTCTATCAGAGGGATTAACCATTCATTGTGTTCTTCACCATTCCCCTACTCATTGACATTTAGGCTGTTTTCTGTCTCTGTCTCTGTCTCTCTAACAGTGCTGTACTAGACACATATACAGTTTATTAGCGAGGGGATTGTGAATAGATGTCAAGGATAGTTTCCATCAACCATACACGGCCGTGTCCTCTGATCACTGTGTATCACCCCCTGAGCCTGATGATGGCCTGAGTTACTTAGCACCTGACTCACGTCTTTTCTACTTGTGCCCAATCCTATTGTCAGCAACACTAACACTCAGCCATAATTCGGACCCCTCAGCTCCATGGGTTGGCAACCTCATTCCTCCATTTCATTTTTAATTTCAATTCTAAGGCAGCAAAGCCACCACACACTAGAATGACAAGGCACCATCTGGACCTGTTTATAACCCTTTACCTTTAATGTCTGCAACTGCATGCACCCTTCACCTCGCTGCCTGGACTTCCCAGAGGTTTCCTGGTTCCCAGGATGGTGAAGCTCTGTTGAGCACAGGAATTACTGGGAATTGTCTCTGAATCCACATATGCAGCAAGTACTAGCTGCGTTCTCAATCGATAAAACGTCTCCTCATATATGTCTTCCATTTTAAAATGTATATCAATGTTGTTATGATTTACAAAATACAGATTTATGTAACAATTACATTAGAGCTTTAGTTTATTATACGTATTAATTAATACACTTTTTAAAACACAGGGTCCCTAGACTAAAGAATTCTGGGAACCACTACTCAAGGTCCAGCTTAATTTGTTAGGTTTATTAGCACCTGTTAGCCACAAGTGACTCACATCCAGGCACGTCAGTTGGGCTCTAACTCCCTTATCTCCTAAATAGTACATGAGAAACTTAGCCTTGGCTTCTAGCCAAAAGGTCATGATACAGTAATCTGTATTTCTCCTAAATCGCAAATCCGATTCACGAGCACTGGGAGACTGAAAAGTTGGAACGTCATTGGGCAAGTCACTTACAATCTCTAACCCTGACTTTCCTCATGTGTAAAAAGGAGATAATATTACTTTCAGGCACTGCAAGTATTCGAGCAATGATAGGCAGAGTCTGTACACCGTAAAAGTTAGCTTATAATTTTACTATAGTTGTTTATTATGGTGATTACGTATTCCTGTATCTGATCAGTTGCCAAATCCTTCTTCATTCCCTCCCTCGTAATTTGGGCTCTGATTAATTCACTCCTCAAGTATCTGGTTCTTCTTACAAAAGGCTTATCAGATTATAATTTCTGAAAACTCACAGAGCATGCATGACACCACCATTCAAAGGACTTCCAGATTTTTAACCAAATAAAGTTCCAACTCCCCAACGTGACTATTGTATAATATATCTTCCTAGTCTTACATCAAAAACTGGGTCTTAGGCTGGGCGTGGTGGCTCATGCCTGTAATTCTAGC